AGTCACTTCCCTTACACGTTATCATGCCTCCCCCAGAAGCAGGTTCTCAGCCTCTTCACTTGAAGTTTCATCAGCCTAGCAAGCTGATGAGGTCTGTGCACACACCAGAGCCTAGTTACCCTGGGATTAAGTTATTCCTAAGATCCGGTCTGCAACATGGAAATTTTTGCATGACTTCACGTGTATAACTGATATCATACTGCTTGTCTTCTCAAAGGGTGGGGAAGAGGCTGGAGAGAGAAAGAAAATTTGGACCTCAAAATTTTTTAAAGGAATGTTAAGTATAATTTTTTAAAAAGACTATAGAGAAGATACTAACCCCTATTGATTGGTAAAGAAAGATGCCTCATCTGTGAGTTTTCTGTATCTATGACAGCATAGGTCAATCCCTTTCTTTATCCCTGATAATGCTTATGCTGAAGGGAATTTCCCTATATCTATTTTCTGTACCCCTAGCTTCAATCTAGTATCTAGTACCCCTAGCTTTGATAATACTTTATCAGAAACAAACAAAAAAAAAGCATTGATTTGTATTGAGTAATAAAATACTAAATCAGTAGATTAACAGAATTTTAAAATGCTTAAATTGCAGTACTGTACATTTGCTAATCTGTAAATTATGTAGTTTTTTTGAAGTGTTGATTTCTACTGTGAAGAAATAAGATCTCTTTTCCTTGAATGTAAAAGTTGTCATTGTGCATAGCTTGTAGAAACCTGCCTTTCTGGTTCTTAATATCATGTTAATCTATGAAGGTGTTATTACTTGTTAGACAAATTTTCTGTTCCCTGATGAAAACTTTATTGATGGTATTTTCAAATTAGCTTCTATTTGGAATTCTCTAAGATTATAAAATTCTGGTTTATAATCTGCTATGTGGTTTATAGGTCTGCTATGTATAAAATGTAGATTGCCTATAAGTAAATGTGATTATACTTTCTGAGAATCTGCTGAGATTATGTAGTATAATCTATTCTGTACTGTAGAAGACTGTTCTGAGTTTTTCTCCTTCATTCTTAACAAATTAATATATTGAAGCATTTTAATCAAGTTCATAATTCTCATTTTCCTGAGGATAAAATTTATTCTAAAAAGCCTGAAGCTTCTTTTATTTTAAAGTATTACTTTTACTTTGCTTTTCCCCCCATTTTACCTGTTTTAAACTTAGCCCTCTTCATTTCTTTTGAGGATGGAAAGCCATATGTCCATCAGTTTGACTACAGGATAAAAAGTAGATAAACCTGTAAGTTTGATTTAAATAATGAGTTGAGATGGCTTGATAAAAAGTTTTAATGAAAGCCTTACCTTTCCCATGTCCTGCAAATTTTATTTATAAAAGAATCCCTCTTTATACTAGCTCTAAAGGGTATTAATTTTGTTGGAATTAGATGTCGCTGAAATAAAAAAAAATAGTTTTGATAAAATAAAAATGAAGACTGAATTGAATCTACTAATATAAGCATGACCAGCAGAAATGAATTCACCTATCCTATACATCACATGAAGATTTAATTGGTTGAATAAAAGGGAAATTTCCACAAGAGATTGGAATAGAGAGTCAGTAATATTTATGTGCTACCATGTTTTTGGAATGATGTTTCTTTATTTGTCATACAATTTTTGTTCTGGTTTAGAACAGGAAAATTAATTTTCCTGTGATTTTTATTTCTGCCCTGCCTGATTTAAAATTTTTTTTATCAGTAAAGTGAAAGTAGTAACATTTAAATGTGGGGCTAAGAATTTTTGGACAAATATGGTATTTATGCCCTCCTTTTCAAAAGTATGTGAAAAAAAGAATCAGTACATGGAAAGTAACCATGTAGATCAATTTCTCTACAAGATTGAAAAATTGGAGGCCCTAGGCTCAACCAAATGTAACGCAAGCCTCCAACTTTGAAATGTAGCCTATGTATTTGTCCCTCTATTAAGTTTTAAGAGTATTAAGAGTAAAGCCTTCATAAAGCAGCAAATGATAGCCACATGTAACTGAAATGTTATACAGATCTAAGATTAATTTTAGATGGTTTGTGTTGCAAACATTTTCCATGACTGATAAATTCATGGTTCCCTTACTGCAGTTGTACTTAATATCTCACTTAGTCCACTAAGACAGCATGAATATTGGATTTCTAGTTGGAGGACTCTTGTTTGAAGCCAGGTTCTGTTTCTTGTGATCTTGAGCAAATCACATCAGTTTACTCATCTATAAAATAACTGGGCTATACAAGATGAGAGGTTCTTCATCATTTTGTATCATGTACTACTTTAGCAAGTTCAGAATAATGTTTTTAAATGCCTAAAATAAAATGCAGATTACAGAGGAGACCAGTTATTTTGAAATAAGATATAATCTATTTTTCTGTTCAATTTCATGGACTCTCTGAAGTCTGTTTTTTGTTGTTCAGTCATTTCAGTCATGTCTGACTCTTTGTGACTCCATTTGGAGTTTTCTTTGCCTTTGCCAAAAATACTGGGCTGGTTTGCCATTTCCTTCTCCAGCTTATTTTACAGATGAGGAACTAAGGAAAACAGGGTTAAGTGACTTACCCAGGATCATGCAGCTAGTAAGTGCCTGGGCTCAGATCTGAACTCAGGAAGTCTTCTTGCCTCCAGGCCTAGCACTGTAGCCACTGTACCACCTCGCTACCTCTGAAATCTATGTACTCTTTGGTTAAGAAGCTCTGGACTAGGTTACTAGGTTCTTTTTTTGCTCTAAATCTTTTAATCTTATGACCAAAATACACAAAATAACTAATATTTCTGGTATCCTCCAGGCTGCTTAGTTTCTATCTTTTCCCCTTTTGGAATCTGTGCCTTTAGGAGAAAAAAAAGAGAATCAGAAGTCAAATAAAGAAGAGGCAGTCCCAAACTAAGGATCATGGGACTTTTCCATTTGACTTAGAATTGAAACTTTGTACATGTGTGTCTCCCATTAGAATACAGGCTCCTTGAGTGCAGGGGTGGCCATGTTTCCTATTTGTAACCCTAGTGCTTAGCAGAGTATTTTTCACATAGTAAACAATAAATGCTTCATTCAAGTGCAAAATAGCATATGTAATATGATACTGTAGCATCTTGAATTCTCTAGGCACAATTGTTAATGAATCTGCTGAATTTTATCCACCAATTATCTATTATGAAAATTGAAGAACTTTCAAGAAATACTGTCATATTCTTCCACCAATAGTCTATTGGAGAGATTGGAAAGAGTGGGAGGTAGAATAAAGTCTCTTTCTACCAAAAATGATGAGACTATAATCTGTTAAAGGCCGTTACTCTTCTAACTGGGGGATCTTTCTGGTAATGGCCATTACATAGAATGGAAGATGACTTAAAATCTACCCAAAAAAACCCCCAACAACATAATTTTCTTAAAGATACATGGCCTACTTCTGGGTCATATGACCAATAAGATGGAAGACTAGACATTTTCTCCAAAGTTCACGACCTTTCAAACTTCTCTAAAATAAAAATTTGCAGAAGAGGTAAAGCAGTTGAAGCTGTTTCCACAGGTTAAGACAAGAAGGCTAGTGAGGCAACAATCTGATTTGATGCATTAACAGCAAAGAAGGCTAATTCCTAGACCCTAATTTACTCATTTAGTACCCCTTCTCCTTCTGGCCCCATGCTATGGAGGGGCAGCACAACATCACCCTCCTGTTGTGCTCTGTGATTCACTTAACTGTTTCCTTTCTACTGCTGCAGTCCAGATTCCCTAACTCACTGGCCTGCTCCTGCCCTTATTCTACCATTCTGAGACAATAAGAAATAGAATTCAAGCTTACTCTGCTTGGGAAGGCAGCATATGGCAGCAGGACTCAACATAGAACTGTGGAATGAAGAATATGGAAAGTAGCTCCAGTATCTGGGGATGGGGACAGGGGGCCCAAGGAAAGGGGATTGGCATACAGCTGAGACCAAAGCTATCCCCTCAGAAGTCCTTTGGAATAGAGACTGAGGCTAATGAAATGTGATTTCTCCATTGCAGGAGGAGACTAAGACAGCTTTGAGATCTAGTCCCCAAGGAAACTTCCTTCAAAGGGTCAAGAAATAAGCAATTGAAGAAAATGATGGGAAAAAGACTGAAATGACCCTAAGGAGAAAGAAAATTCAGTTTAAAATCTTGAACACAGGGAAGATATTAACAACACTAGAGAAGATGGCTTCAAGTTTATCTAAAAGAGGCCAATCATCCAAGAATAAATATTGTAAGAAAGAGGACAATAAATCAACATGAGGCAGAGGATCCTATTGATTTCCAAAAGAACATGGAACCACAGCAGTATGTGTTGTAATGGTTCAAGAGAAAATAAGAATTATGAAATCAGAATTTATGTCCTGCATAGCAGAAATAATTGGCAGAATAAACAACAAAAAAAATTGAATCCATAGCGACAAATCTCATACTTAGAAGTGAAGACCAATCTTAGAAAAAAGAGAAACAAAAAAGGAATAGCATTTAAAAAAAAACCCCATGATCTCTAAACAAGAAAAACATTATGGTTTCCAAGACAGGATGTGTAAACAATTTAAGGATTGTAGGTCTCCCAGAAGAACAACACAGTCCGAGAAATAATATAAGGAAATTGCCCAGAATTTCTGAACACAGAAAAAAAATTACAATGAAAAGAACCCACAGATCACAAACAGAAAAACCAAATGAATTTATGCTATAAACTTCAAGACATATTTTGGTTAAATTTAACAATTCCAATGACAAAAAATTATGCAAGTGACCAGGGGAAAAGGCCCTCAAATACGAAAGGAAACAAAAGAACCATAAAAAATAACTATAATTTCAAAATTCTTTGTCAGATTGCTTCATGTATACATGTAGATGTTATTTTCTTCCTTCAATTTGAGGCAGTACTTATAGAACAAGTAAAATTTAGTTGTTTTCTCAGACTTCATACAATTGTCCCTGTATTAGACAAAGTTAACAATAATTATATCTGTGATTTTACTGTCTTTATGAAAAGATTCTGAAAATTCTTTCTTACAGAAGTCAACGAAAGGTTCTGTTATCCTTGACTACATATTCCATCATATAAACCTAGTGGAGATAGATTATTTTGGACTGCGTTACTGTGACAGAAACCATCAGACGGTGAGTGAAAATGGATTTAAAAAGCTAGGTTATAGTTTTCCAATTGTAATTCAGTTAGATCACCTCATTTGCTACTTTTCCTGACATGATTTTATGGTATCAGATATTTTTTGTTACTAAAATACCTTTGAAGCTATGAGAAATAACATTTTTCTACATAATTTCTTTTCATCCATTTGAAGTATCTTTTTTTTTCCCAAAAGGATGTATATTGAATGGAGAAAATACAGTACATCAGAAGTAAAGGCTCAGGGTTCCAAGTCCCTGGTGCTTTTTTCAGGTGACAAACTATTCTGTTCCCATTTCTTTACCTATCCTATCTTTTCAATCCTATGGATTGAGAAGGTAGTACAGTATGCATTGAAATATTTTCACAGGGTGAACAAGTTAGGGTTTTTTTAGTTTATTTTTTACAAATGAGACAAATGAGAAATTGATGTTAGAAAGAAATATGTAACGTAAAAAGGTCACTATAAGAAGGTGTAATCGAAAGGATTATGTACTGCGCAGATTCAATTTAGGTTCAGATCTCAAGATATAATGTCATGTACTCAGGATAAACTTAACAAATAATCACATTTATTTACAATGATTAATAATGATTAAAAACGACAGAAGCAATAAAGATAAGAATAACATTCAATGCAATAAGTAGTAATCAACATAAAGGAAAGTAGGAATAAGAAAAGAAAGGATACACACTCACTGACCAGGTAAGCTCAAATACCTAATAGATCGGGGAGACTGGAGAATGGCCAAAAGGTCTGGTCAGAGAGGCCAATGGAGCAGCATCCCACTCCGACCCAACAGAAGCTGTGCACACAATCCATTTCTGAACACAACGGAGATTTAGCATCCGTATCTCAAAGTCTCCAAAGATCCCTTTCCAGATGACCCCGTTTATATCCGTATAAACCAGGGAAAGACAATCTTGATATTCTGTTTTGTGTATGTCTCCTTGGTGAGTACTCAGATCCAGGGTACATACACAGTCTAACAATGGTTGGCACTTGATCAGAGCTCCAACTACCTGTTTATTGTGTAATTGTCCAAGGAGTGATCAATTCCTTGGACAATTACATGCTTTTCTCAAGAAAAAATGTTCCATGAGATAGATTGTTTTCCCAGGTAACATTGTTTAGTTGTTACTTAATGTTCCAGTCTCCTTGATCCTGGCCATTCTTTGATGACTCCATTTTATCTTTATATCAGGTCATGAGGCAGTTACACCTTTAGGTCATAAGACAGTTACACAGGGGGCTGGGGAGGATCTATCCTCCTCAGTTTCCCTTACAGAAGGTTTAGAGAAAAGTTGATTAAGTAAAACTATATAAAATATCTAAAGATTTCCATCTTTGGTATTTGATAGACTAACGTCACTGAGCTGTTATTATGAAAATTATGTTTATATAAAACTGGAATGTCTCAGTCATTATCTTGAGTAAGTGGAAGGACAAAGACGTGAATGACTACTTGTAGGATAAAAATTAAAAACTATTCTTCATTAGGGGTTTTGATTCAATTTTGAGAAAGATCTTTATTTTGGATGGTATTGTAGTCTTATTAAAAATCCCCAAACTTTTGACTTAAAAGGAAATAATTCATAAATTATTTTGCATATTCTTTATGTCCAATGCACCAAAATACTGTAGCTCCTTTCTTTTCCAGCCCCTGTTAGGTTAGACTGAATTTGCTGAGCTGAGAAAAACAACTGCTTGTTTTGGCTATGGTAAGCCAGGCACAGGATGTGCTACTGTTATACTATGAGAATAAGCTGCTGAAAAGACTGTTATTGAGTGATGATAACTTTATGGTTTTATTTCAGTTAGTTTCATGGCTTGCCTTTTTCAGGAGATCTTTCATAAAGTGATGATAAACAGGTGTTGACTGGTTGTCTCCCAAAAGGTATCTCTAAAAGCCCATTATTAAAACCCTACTTCAAAGGAAGAGAGTTCAATTTTATCAAGTTCAAACTCAGATCATTTTTAAGTAAACCAAATGAATTCTACCCCATAATTGCCCCACCCTCCTTCTCCTAAATACTTGAAGTAAACTATTACAGAAGTGTAAATTAAAGTATATAAATACATTGAAGGCTACAAAAGATGTCTTGTATGATATGTCCATATTTGTGAAATAACATTTCTCTTAATAGGAATCAAAAACAGCTTGACTCCTAGAACTAATCTGGTGTTTTACATCTTGCCTTGAAAGACTGATTTGTTTTAGTAAATTTACTTGGTCATTATCAGACTGTTTTTAATTCACAAAAACATAACACGAGAAACAAGTGAATTTCAAATGTCATATTTTTAAAATTTTTTTAAATTTTAAAATTTATTTTCAACTTAAATACAAAATGAGAAAAGAAAAAGTAAACATTGCCATGTACACAGTAGAATATGAGAGGATTCAATATAAAACAATAAAGTTCCATTTCAAGAAAATTGATATAATAAATACTACACATTGTTTTCAAAGCTGCCCAACTTTTCTTTGCTTCCTTATAGGTTTGCTTTTGTTCTCTGCTGTGCACTTTTTACTTAATTTTTCCACCTCTTTCCCTCTCCTTCCCTGCCTTAAAGAAGGCTACAATTAAGTGCCGATGTATGTATGTTCATGTGTGTGTGTGTGTATACATATACATAGATATCTATAAACATATGCATATATACACACATAGACTCATAAACATATATATAAGACTTTACTATGCTTATTTCCATTTGTCATCTGTTTCTATGAAGGTGGATAGCATCTTCCTTCATAAGTCCAAGTTTTTCTAAATCAACTAGCTCATCATTTCCCATACCACAGCAGTATTTCAACCCAATCACATGCTACCTGAGGGATTGCCTATGAAAGTTTTTTCCTAATTTTCTGCATTTCTTCTATTCTTAGCTACATAGGTTTTATTTATATAAGAAATAATTAATTGAAAATAATAAAAATTATCATTTTATACTTTAACAATGCTATCACCTTGTAATATAGTTTGAGGTCTGATATTGCTGAATCTGCTTCCTTTACATATTTTTTCCCTGGATTTTTTTTTGAAGTTCCTGATCTTTTGTTCTTCCAGAATAACTTGGTTATTATTTTTTCTAACTCAGTAAGATAATTTTTGGTAATTTAATGGGGATGGCATTTAATAAATAGATTAATTATGTAAAAATGTCACTTTTTTATTACATTGGTTTTACCTACCCATGAACAATACATATTACTTCAATTATTAAATCTGACTTTATTTGGATAAAAAGTGTTTCATGTTTATGTTCATATAGTTTCTGTATCTGTTTTGGCAGGTATACTCTTGGATATTTTATACCATCTGGTTATTTTAAATGGTCTAAAACTATATAGAACAATATTGCTGACACATACTGTTGTTTCCCTATTTTTTGCTTTTGATTAAATCCATTTTAACTTTAACTTTGTTTGAGATTGTGATTACCATGCCTGCTTTTTTTACATAATAAATTCTATTGCTGCCCTTTATTTTATCATTGTGTGTATCTCTCATTTTTATAGTGTTTTCCTGAAAGCAACATATTGTTGAATTCAAATTTTTAATCTGTTCTCTGCTTCCATTTTAAGGGTAAATTCAACCCATACACATTCTGAGCTATAACAACTTGTGTATTTTCCTCCTTCCTATTTTTTTCTCATTGTCCTCATCCTATTTGCCCTATCCCTTCTCACTCCTCTGCTTTACTTCTGCCCACTACCTTGCCCTCCTATTCCTTAACCTACCCACCCCTGTAAGAGTCCCTCCCTTATCCTCTCCCCTACCCTATCCCCTTGCCTTCTTATTTCTTTTTCTTATTAGTTTATTTTAAACTTAAATACTAAAACTTAAATATGCAATAAGAAAAAAAGAAACATTATAAACTTAAATACAAAATGAGAAAAGGAAAAAAAAGCATTGCCATGCACACAGCAGAATTTAAGAAAGGATTCAATAATTTTACTGCAATTTTATTGCAATAAATTTCCATTTCAAGAAAGCCTGTATAATAAATACTACACATTGAATTCAGAGCTGTCCATCTTTTCTTTGCTTCCTTGTAAATTTTCTCTTATTCTTTCTCTTATTTCTTTCTGAATTTACAAGACTTTAATACCCTTCTAGATGTGTATGTCATTCTCTCTTTAACCCATTCCCAATGAGAGTAAGTTTCCAGCACTTCCTACCTTTCCCCCTACTAGTTCCTTCTGTATCAGTTTTTCCTTTTATGCCTCATTTGTATGACATAATTCCTCCTTTTTATCTCTCCCTACACAATTTGTTTTTAGAATAACCCCATCATATTCAGCTCAGCCCAAGCCTTTCTTTCAAACTACCCAAAAAATGACAGTCATAAGAGTACTGATAATATTTTCACATATAAGAAGTAAACAATTAGACCTTATTGAGTCCCTTATAATTAGTCTTTAATGCTTACTTTATATTTATCCTAGATCTTATATGTTGAGTTTTCCATTAAGTTCTACTGTTTTTGTCACAAATACCTGAAAGTCTTTCATTCATTAAATACATTTTTTGCATACAGGATTATACTTAATTTTGCTGGGTAAATTACCCTTGGTTGTAACCCCAGCTCTTTTGCTCTACAAAATGTAGTATTCCAAGACCTATGCTCTTTCAACAGAGTAGCTGCTAAGTCTTGTGTAATCCTTATTGTAGCTCCATGATATGTATATTGGTTGGTTGTTTTTTTTTCTTGTTGCTTCCAATATTTTCTTTTTTTTTACATTCCTATTAAACATATTTTCACATTAGTCATATTGTAAGGAAAAATTAGAACCAATAGGAGGAACCACCAGAAAGAGGAAACAAAACAAAACAGAAGAAAAAAATAGCAAATTGTATTCCATCTGCATTCAAACTGCATAGTTTTTTCTTTGGATGTGGCTAAGTTTATCAAAGTTAGTCATTGTACAATGTGGCTGTTGCTGTGTACAACATTCTCCTGGTTCTGTTCACTTCACTCAGC